TTGAAGAGGATTGATTTGGACCTTAAACTGCCTGTCAAAGGTTTTTTAAATGACCCATCCTGTCTATCCACTCAGCTCATGAATTCATTCCTCAGAAGTTCAAAAGGGTTCAAATAAAACTGACAAATCCAATAGTCTGAGGAGATTCTGACTGATAATTTTGTGTCTAAGGTGTTTACTTGGGGATGAATCAACTAGAATAGGCTAAAAATTACAAAGACAACCAGATTGCTTTTCAAAATCACTCCCTTTTGGCTGCTTAGTGCTTCTCTCATACACCTGATCCTTAAATACTTTGTCATTTTTCCTGACCATTCCAAAGGGATGCAGGTAAAGATACCCCCATCATGGATAGGCAGAATCCCAGCAAAGATCTGGGTGTTCCCATGTGCTTTAAGTCTACTGACAAAAAGGTTCTGACAAAATCCATATTGAAAAGCAAAATGTCTACAAGTTAATTTATATTTCACTGGAAGAAAAAAACTACAATAGGATATGTAAGGGAATGACTAATTTAGAAATTACTAAATTGTGATAAAAAACACTGGAAAATAAGTGGTCTAAAAGATAATTTCATCAGCAGAAAATAAATTTAAAATGTTATCTAAGGTATTTGTAAGTTTGGAACAATTTCCCTGATTTTAACCAAAAGTTAACCAGCTTTGAGCTGTAACAGGAACCACAGCAAGGCTGTCCCAGGCCAAAGACATCCCAGGGTGGGAGAGGATGGGCTGTATTGTGAAGGAGAAAAATGCAAGGTTGCAGCTTAGATCAGCATCCTTGTAATTATTCTGCATCCATATGAAACACAGACAGCCAAGTGCTCATCATTAAAATGCTGCAGCACAGCTGGAAACCTCAGCCAACAGCTCAGAAACTGCCCTGTGCATGGATTTATTTATTCTCTGGTAGGACATGGAGTGAAAAACCCTCAGAAATGGCCACTGTCCTCAAATGACCCACATGCCTTCATCCAGAGCCCTTTTGCAAAGAAAACTTTAAATTATCACCCCCAGATTCTTGGGGTTACTCTGCTCTTTCTTGGGATGCACAGATGGATCATTTTGGGGCAGATCATAAAAGCCAAGGAAGAACAGAGCAGGCAGAATGTGCATTGTAACACTCAGAACATGCTGCTGGGGCTGCTGAGCATTACCAGGTGGGACATTCGGGTTTCAGTGTCACCAGGTGGGACATTTGGGTTTCAGTGTCACCAGGTGGGACATTCGGGTTTCCCTGATATTTCCCACAGACCCAACAGTGTGAGAACTCCACCAAACCCAACTGATGTTCCATTAGCACAGCATGATGAGCACACACTGGAGCACAGAAGCTGTGATTTATTAACAACTACTGCTCTAAAAAGGGCCTCTTGATCCAATGCCACATTTGAAGACTGAAACCCCTACAGAAGCCCTCAGCAGCCTTTTCCTCTTTTCCCTGACTATTTCTTCCTAATGAACTCCTCTGGCATTGGTGCAGCCCCAGCCTGTCCTGCTGGATGTCCTGGTTTAGGGCAAATTTGTGAGGAAACCTTTGAATGGGGTGAGAGAAGTGGGAAAAAAATGTTAAAACGCTTTAAAACTGTTCATTTATAAAGTTACCCCAGGACACACCAGGCATGAGAGACGCAGTTTTCCCCAAACCATAGATATCCCTGCAGGAACCTGAACGAAGGCTCTGCCTGCATTCCCATTGCCCTCCCTCCCTCTGGGAAGGGGAAACTGCAGGAATCTCTGAGGAGGAAAATGGCCAGAGCCAGGTTTTTACTGGGAGCTTCTTGCTGTTGTTCAGGCAGGATTTTGGGCAATTTCATTCTGTTTTTTTTTCCCCTTTTTTCCTACGAGATTAGTGCCTGCATTATTCATTAAAGACCACACGATCTTGGAGCTTCTAACTTTGGATTCTGCTGTTCAGCCCACCAATTACTGACAAGGACACAATTTGAAGTGCAGAGCCAGAGCTGGCATCTGGTCATTGTTCTGCTGAGCTGCCTTACCCCTGCTCAAGTCATCTTTGACCCAAATAGGAAAAAGCTGACATCCTTGATGCCTTCCTCCCTGAATGTCAGAGGTATTAGTTTGATAGTGGGGTGGGAATGGGATCCTTTTATTTGTATTATGCATCAATCTTCTGCAAATGGAATGCAGAAAAAACAGGTCTCATCTTAAATCACTGAGCTGTACTGCATAAAGAAATAAATCCTGAATAAGTAAAATATTAAACTTGAATATCAGTGAGCAGTAGAGACCAAAATGGACATGAATTATCAAACAATATCTCAAATGCTTGTTATTTCACAAAATCAAATAGAAATAGAGCATTGTATGACTGTGACTTTTTACACAGCTCTGTGTGTGCTGAACTTTGTTCACAAGAACAGTGTCACTGATGTGAACAGGCCTGTCCTGCTAAGGACACACAGAATTCTTGCCAAATCCTGGTTGGACACATTCCTCAGGGCATTAGTACTGAAATCTGCCTTTTAAAAGACAGTATCTCAACGTTTTCAAAAATGAAATATCCAGTTATAGAACCTGACATTTCCAAAATCAGAAAGCAGATGAGATAGTTACTAAATCAATAAGTTTCGAACAGGTGGAATGAAAAATGTATTTTTTTCTTTCCTTCTATTTAATTATTTAAGTGTATAAATATTTGGTATCTCATCTGTCTGAAAAAAGAGCAGAGGTTCAAGCTTGGCTCAAATGGTGTAGAGACAAATGTGAACAAGCCCAGGAAATGGCTCCTGAGGCTGTGGGAGATGCAGAGGAGTGGCAGGTCCATCCTCATGGGGGGAATTAACCCAGCAGGAGAATTTGTACTCAGGAGGTTTTTTTGCACCTCTCACGTTCATCACTGGACACACTTTGCAATTCATGAGTGGACATGCTTTTCCTGATGTGTCAGGGAGGAATTGCTCTGCTGAAAAGCCAGAACACTCTTGTCTTTCTATGAAACTGGCACAAAGAGATCTTGGCACCACAGCCATCAACTTCACTGGCAAGAAATTCCCACCAGGGAGCTGCAGCCTGGGTCTCTCTCCACATTTGATCTACTGCATGTCTGGCACAGCATGAGCGTGGTTCCTGCCCAAATCCAACACCAAAGCCCTAATTCTCCCTCAGTGTTTGGAAAGAACCACAAGTGCAATTCATCTTTCTCTCTTCTCACTTTCCTATAGGCAACAAATCCCTTAGGTTTAAAATTAGAGTCAATGTGATGGAGAATTTTGAAACCACTGGATGGATCTTACTTTCTGTTGTCCAGGTAGAAAAAAAAAAAGAGAAAAAAAAAAAAAAGAAAAAAAAAGAAAAACATTTCCAAAATCTGCAGGCTGCATTAGAGTTCTAGTAATTACAAAGATTTATGTTCCATCCTGCCCCAAATCCAGAGCTCATTGTCCATTCAGCTTACACTGCTCTGACTTACAGTTCTCTGTATCCATTATCTTTAATAATAAAGAGCTGACTGCACTTGATGACTGAAGAGCAAGATATGATTAGCAATAGGAACCTGATTTATGAGAAAACAAACCCGAGAGTGGTTTTCATGTTTCATTGAAAGTATCTTAAATGTACTCCTTAATGCTAATTGATCTCAGAGAGGTGAGAAATGACTCTATTCCCAATTAATGGGACAAAATAATTCACCTTCTTTCTGGAGGGAACATTTAATATCATTCAGCATTTAGAGGGAGGTGGCATCTTCACAGGGATTTCACCATCTCAAGTGAGGTTTCATGGTGGACATTTACCCTAAACCTGCAAGATTTCCCATTGAACATGGAAAAAATTCAACAGCATAAATACACAGTAAAATACCATATACATTTTCTTTTCACAAAAGGTCCTTCTTAGCAAAATTACCCAAAGCTGAAAAACAATATTGGTGAGCAAATACAGAGTCTTTTTCCTTATGTTTGTCAAAGGAAAACTCCTTGATGACTCTGTTAATTTGCTATGAGCAGGAGATTACTGAGATATTTGCAAGATAAAGTTCCTTGCAGGCTTTATTGAAAACAAAACAAAGCAGAAATGTATTTTTCCCATTAAGCATTTCACTTTTGTTTGTATTTCAGTAATTTTTTTCTTCCTTCTGAATTATTCATATTTGGATATCAAATATTCCCACAAACCAATGCATTTAGGAATAATGAGTCTTGACTAGCTTCATTTTAACTCATTGTGCTTTCTGACCAGGATTATTATTATTATTATTATGAAATGACCTTCCATTCAATCTGTTTCTATGATCCATAAATAGAAGTTGCCTAATGAGCTTCTCAAGTATTCCACTGTCATTTCCATGGCAGTTTTTCCTATCTGGGGTTTGTAAAGCTCTGATGACAACACCATTTAATCCACAGCAATAGCCCTGCCTGTTTCCTCTCAAATCCCTTCCATGAATACAACCTTCTCCATTCCAGGCTGGAATCTTGCACCTTTTACACTGCCTGAGAAATGCAGAGGGGCTGTAACACCCACTGAAGGAATAATTTGAGAACTTCAAAAGTTGCTCCATACCACAGAAACAGCAATCATTATTAGATTTTCTGATGAAAGAGGAAAAAAAATTTCCTCTTGCCTTGTTCTCATGTTCTACTTGAATAGGATTTGAATATATGGTTTGTAAAGCAGCAGGGACAAATACACTCTCCAGTGTACTCAATCTATTTTTACCTATTCCAAAGAAAGAAGGTAGAGAAGAACAAAGGAAGAGATGCAGAGTTTCTGTCACTACCTGCAGTGATACAATATGGAGAAAATAATGCATGTTCCATGAGGAATTCAGCAGAGCTCTGGAGGAGGGGTCCCTTCCAGAGGAAGTGTCATATGGTGACATTTTTGCTCAGAAGATAACAAGTGTGTTAGTGAATATTTTACTGGCACATCACCCTTACTTTCTATTTGGATTTCACATCGGGTTTCACCTTTCTCACGTCACACACATCACCACTTCGTCTGAATTCAGGAAAGACCAAGGCAAAGCCTACTTACAGTTCTGACATCCCAGAGAGACAAGGTCTTGTCAGCAGAGCTGGTGAGGACGGTGCTGGAGAAGGGCAGGAACTCGATGCTGTTGACCGAGTCCTCGTGGCCACGCAGGGTGTATCTGCACCTCTCACTGCAAGAGAAGAAAACAGGAATGCAGCACCCTCCCCTCAGGGTGACATGAACTACAGACAAATTCAGGTGAGTGAAGAACTCATTTCATGCATCTCCCCAGCTACTCTCTGGAAAAATGAACATGGACAGCGATTTCTCACCCGAGCACTGCACCACAGAGAGTTACAAAACCCAACCACTGGTGTTTGCTTCCCAGTAATGAAGGCTGGAGCAGGAAGGCATAAAGAAATGAGAAGTGGGGTTTAAAAGATTGAATCCTAAGGAGGAACAATGAAAGCACCACTTTGTGTACTCCAAAACCTTGTTGATGCAGAACTAAAAGGGAACATGGATGAAAAGGTAGGATAGAGACAGCACCATTTTCTTTTTATAGACATCAAATTCCTTTTTTTCCAAGGCTCTGAGAGATCTGATGGACTGTGCCCCTGAAGAAAGCCAGTGAGTCATGCTGGCAACTTGGTTTTCCTCTCAAGGTCTGCACCAATACTTAGAGAAAGCAAGTGATGCCTGGGAGCTCTTTACTGAGGGTAAAGTCTTGTCCCTGTGGACACCCAAATCCCCTTTTCCCTGAAGGAGAGGTCTCTGGCTAGGGATGAACCACACCAGTGGCCACTGGAAGCTCCAAGTTCTTAAAGCAGAGGTGAGGGAACAGAGGTGCACCCCAAAAATCAAAATGTTCATCATGAACTGACAGTTCAGATGGAATTACCTGTGAAGTGGTTCTGAAAGTTCTTTCAAGGCTGGAGACACCCAGTCACTGCACCTCCTCCCAGCTGAGCAGTGAGGAGGAACACCCTAGAGCTTCATGGGCTGCCTCTCTCACTTCTTTGCTTTGCTTTCTTTTTTTGCTTTATTTCCTTTGGATGAGTTAATTTCTGAGACAACAGATGGACCTGGTACAGATGAAACCCCAGACAGGAAGCTTTTCCTTTGTAGGAGACTGGACACAACCACGATGGCACTGCTGTGGAGAACCAGTTCTCTCACCAAACAACCCTGACCTTGGCTCTACAGCTGTGACCTCATGAAAACTTTTTGGGTTTTGCTTTGCCTTCTGTATACACACCAGAGCAGAACATTCCTTAAACTGGAGCCAAGGAGAAGAGAAGGAAGAGCCCAAGGATGCCCCATGCAGACAACACAGAAGGTGACACAAATCTGGGATCACTTAAACTCAGCAGACTGGCAAAGACTTAACTCCTTCAGGAGCATATCAAGATGGGGAATGATTGAAATAATCCAGGATCTGTCACTCATTATTAATCAAAGGTATCACTCCATGAGCTCTTTGGATATACATAAAACTTAAATGTGCAGTATTAGTATTGTTATATCCTGTGAAAACACACAGGTAGGGGAGCATACTGTAGAAAAAACTAATCAATGTAAACTCAGTAGCAGTTCTATTCTCTCTGTTCAGCTGGGTCAAAAATAGTATGAAAAAATAAAAGCCAACAACTCATCATAAATTACTGCAGCTTTCAGCAAGAGCTCAGAATTTTATTCCCAGCTCATGTGATTCTGACAGTAGAAACACACCTCCCTGGAGCTGGCTGCTGAATATATCACTGGGGCTTGCAAATTAGATTACTGGGTGGCTCTTAACAGAGAAATTTCTTCCAATATTTATTAAGGAAGCTGTCAGCAGGGGGGAATTAAAGATGTGATTTTTCTTCCTTTTTTTTTTTTTTTTTCCCCTGCCTGTATGTCCCCAGAAGACTCTCAGAGCTCTTGCTGGTTGTGTACCACCAGCACAGGAGATCAGTCTCTGCAGCGAGGGCCAGCAGAGCTGCAGGGTGGGGATGGACACTGCCCTGAGCACTGAGCAAACACAGGGACTCACATCTGTCCTAGAGCTTTGCCATTTCTCCAGACTGGAATGATATCCTGTGCTGAACACCAAGCCTGTCCCCACAAAGGCAGATAAGTAGCTTGTGAGGAGACATATTATCCAGGAAATAGATTTCAAAGAAATATTAGATTCCACTGGTATCATTTTACAGAATCTATGTTTTTCTATTATAGATAATACATTATACCACCCAGTGTTACCTGTTATATAGCCTACATGTGTTATTTTGTCACAAGGACCCATTTTAAACTAGACATAAAGTGTTTGGCTGTTAGAACTCGGTGCACAAGATATCTGATATTCATGATCACTTGATATATGACAGTAAAATAAATTGAATAAAATAATTCTTTTGTCTCACAGTCTCATGGCAATGTTTCACATCACAAATATGCCTTTTCCATCTCAGATCTTACACTTCTATTTGTACCTAGATATGCCATTTTTTAAATCCTTTCCAGCTTGCATATTCCAATGTAAAGGCTCTGAGCTGCTGAACAGTTTCTGACAAGGAAAATCCTACTGCTTTTTTTTTTTTTCCTGTGGGCACTTTGCATTTTTGAAAACATAGACAGCTTTACATATCAGTGTGAGAGTGGCTCCATTGGGAGAAAGGGATATTTTCCTGTAATAACAAGGTGTGTCTATGCCCTCTTCAAAGGCTGGGGAAGAACGATGTCTTCAACCTGCTTGACTGGGCTTGGGATGAAAGAACACAGCAAAAGGAAGGCAGGTAAAGGAAAAAAAAGATATTTTGTTTGTCAGGCACTGATGTAAGATCTGGACCATCCCAGGCAGCCAGGCTGCAAGAACAGGCTTGTGAGAGATTAATTAGGTGCCAAAGCAGGAAGGCCCATTCAGAATCCCTTAGCAAGGTGAAAATGGACTGAAGTGATGGACCATGACAGCAGCAGAAGAGAAGGAAATGATTTGCACTTTTCCATCAGGAACACAAACACCCAGCCCTGATGCAGCCTCTCTCCATCCCACTTCCCTGTCACTGCACATTGATGAGCTCTGGCTCTCGAGATCTCATTTACCACTCTGATAACTGACTGACTGAATATTTCTGAGAACCTTTCCCCAGTGCTACATAAAATAAATTCATCTTTCCTTCCAGCTGAGACATAATTTCAGCAAGATTGTCTTGTACCAGCTATCTTCTGGTCAGAAAGGGTAACAATTTATCTAGATGTTCTTTATCCACAAAAAAAAAAAGAAGTTGATATGAAGGGTAGAGCATCACCCTGTTTTTTCATGGAAGCTCATGTTTCTATCCAATGGTACAACTTTATCTACATTAGAATAAATCTGTAGCTACATCCACTGAGTATTTTTCTCGTGGTGAACACATGGATACAAGCCTCACAACCTCTGAATATCCTCGTTCAGAAGACAGGGGGGATCATGTATGAACAGCAGGTTAGACACTTGCACAAATCTTGATGCTTCAAGAGGTTCTCAATAAATGATGCCACGACAGAAATGCAGCTCAGTAGCTCAGAATTCGGCAGATTGCATGCTAAACCTCACTCACACACCACTCCAACCTTCATCCTTTCCCTGTGTTAGTACAGGACTAATTATCCTCAATGTTTTCTTTCTCTCTGCAGTCAATTCCTCTCCCTTAAAGCCAGGTGAGGTAATGATGTCCATCAATAAATCAGCCTTCATTCTACCTCACCAGGTTTGGATGTTTCCTAAGAGTTTCAAACAAACATGGACAGATATTAATGCAGCAGCACACCCATGCCAGGAATATTGGCTTCAATTAACCACACCAATATTGATATCATTAGCTCAACAGACCGGGAAGATTTCATTTTTAGAGACTTCTCTTTTAAAAATCACATTCTGGAGCAGTTCATTCAAATTCCAAAAGGCTTTCAGTGAAACTGCATTGAAAACAAAAGATATGAAAGATTTCCACTTACATAAGACTTCAGTGAATATTCCCAGGCTCTGCAGAAATGTAAAACAGCAACCAAAAAATGCACCAGTCAGATCTTCCATCGACTGTGCAGTAATTGAAAGGGAATACAGGTACTGGGTAGATTTCTCTTGCCCTGCATACTTTCCCAGTAAAACTCAGGAAGAACAAAGCAGTGCCCTCACTGCAGACAAACCACAGGTAAGGCATGAGGCAGACAACACATGGCCAGCTCTTCTGCTACTTAAGTGTTTCAAAAAAATCCCATGCATGCCAGCAAACCTGTGGAATTGGGATTTTTTTGCCCCCTTTCTTGGCATTTTTTTAAAAGCATGTTGTTTCTATGTTCAGCTCCAGTTGGAAGAATTGGGGGAGTGGAGGGTGATATCATTTCAGTGAGTGCTTAGTTAGTCATCACTACTTGTTTTATTTCTGTGCCATATTGAATCTCAGTTCAAGCAAAGTAATTAAAACTACCTATACAGCCAATTGAAATTAATGAGATTTTGAGCTTGTTCTTTGGAGTTAGTGCCTCTCCCACTCACCTTTTTCCATGCCTTCAAAGGAATTCATTAAATAAAGAATTCCCAAACAGGAACTCCCAAACTGTACTATTTTTCCCCAAAACCGCTCTCTCAAATCATCCCGTGGAGCAAACACTAAACTAAACTCTCTCTCATGTCTATTGGGAAACATTCTTCTGTGTGAGCTGCAATCACAATTTTCAGGGCAAGCTACACCAGAAAGTCACCTGCTGTGAAGATGGACACAGCATTTCTGAGGAAGATTTGTAAAGACACAACACAACCAGCCTCCAGTGCTCCTACTGGGCTGTAATTGTAACAGTCAAAAAGAAAATGTTTTTAACAAAACCTAATCCTATCATTTTCTCATCATATGGCTCTATCTCCAAAATGTGTTTAAATTTGGCATAGAACTTTCCCAGCCAAGATCAATGGCCAAGGATAGCAAATGGGCTGGCTTAAGACATTAAAATGCCAGCTTGGTTTATACTGTTATAAATGCATCCTATCATGTATTTACATTTTATGACCTCTATTTTATTTCTAGGTAGCTTCACATATGACACATCCAATTATTCATGTCAAGGATGTAAAACTACCAGTATTTCAGCAAAAAGTGCCTGCCATCGTTTATGACAGTGATTTTTTTTTTTTTTGACCCATTATTTCACTAAATGTAACACATTTTCTGA